AAACATCATCCAGTGTGGTTTAGAGTTAATAGAATTTTATTAGCTTCAGCTACATTTTTCTGCAAGAAGGAGGGAGGATGTTTTTTAATTGCATCAAACATGTTGCAGCATTAAAACCATAAATGTATATATTTTAATATTAACAGTGGTACACGTAGATGAACAACAAAACAACAATAAATGAGGACATCATTACACTAGAGACTGCATTTTATAAATCTGTTCCCTAAATAGTGCATTCAGGTCAAGATGCAGCAACCTGACAAACAGATTTACTGACTAAGACATGAAGATATTATTTACAATATGTGCTTAAAATATATGTTTAGTAACTATTATTTCTCAGGAAAGACAGAGGAAAAATATGTGTTAATTAAAGCAAAACAACCAAAAAATATGACATAAATGCATTTACTGTATAGCTGGGGCCTGTGAATGTAGCAAGAAGGAGTCAGTAGGTTTTTGTACAGCTGTTCAACCAACTTCAGTCACTGTGGGTGTCGAGCACAATAATAAACAGCAGAATTTTCAGTCTTCAGACTGTTCATCTGCAGAAACAGCTGCTCTTTGCTGTTGTCTCTGGAGATGGTGAACCTGCCTTGGACTGACTGACTGAGTAGTAGATTCTATTACTGTTATCTTCAATAAAAGCGATCCACTCCAGTCCTTTTCCAGGAACCTGTCTGACCCAGTGCATCCAGTAGCTACTGAATGATATTCCAGATGTTGTACAGGTCAGTGTGTGGGACTCTCCAGGTCTTTTAACTGCAGGTTCAGACTCTGTTATGCTCCAACCTTCAGCAGCGCTCCAAAACAAACACAGCAACCATCAACAGTGTGAGCTGTCTGAGAGCCATGTTGACAGTGTGACTAATATGTTTTCAAGTCTGTACATTTCCTTTAAATGTACTGAATCTACATGAAAATGCTTCCATGAGGCTCCTCCTGCATCAGTCAAATCAGAGGCTGGCTCTATAAACGGCACAACATGAGATTCAGCATCACTGAAACAAGTCGACAGCTAAAAACATCTGTTTCCTCCATGACATCAGAGTAGTGTAAACTTTCATTATGATATATTGCTATGTTGTTAGTCAAACTACCCAAACAGTGTATTAGGTAGTGATATAACCTGGACCTTAACTGACATTAAAGAGTAACATAACACCCCTGAAATTCTTGTTCCTCCAGTGGATCAATTTATCACCTTGCTGCAGTGGTGTATAACAGGATCCTGTGACTTCACTGCTAGGTGTGGTTAAAGGTGGTGCCCACAACATAATCTCTATAAAAGTATATACAGTCTACAGTGTACACCCAGTGAGAGAACAGTCTGGCTGTATGAGAATGACACCTAATCATTATGATCAGAGGTGAAATAGCAGAAACACCAGGGAGACGACATTCCATCTTGATAAATTTCTCTTTGAAATGTTGCTCACATATTAATGCATCCGCATGTTTTACTTTTAATCGTGGTACACATGCTGAGTGCTTACAATGGAAGCACATTTGTGATAGCAGGACTTCTATGCATATTTTTTTTAGATTCTGGTGAAACCTTTGAAAAACTTAAGCAAAGGATAAACCTTTCAGAAAATGTTCAAAACATGTGACACTCCTGATATTTTTTTTCTCTCTCTATGTTTTATTAATCTCCCACATGTTCGCCTGTGTTTTCTAAAGCTTAATAAAAGAGATAAAAAAAAAAGTGATGCTGCACGGTCCAGGCACAGCACTGCATCTTCAGCAGCTATGTAATACTCTGAAACCAAATCTCCCACTTAAAGCATTCTCCACAACAAGTTAGTTCAACCTGCAAACACTACCGTTTGTATTTAGGACTCTCAATTTTAGACCAACATATATAGTGGACCTTAGATGAAGACCCTTTCAGTGTCGTGACCTCGCCAGTGGCTCCTTCAGCCACTCCAGTGGATGGTTTGCCTCCTTGTGAACGATATTATGAGACCATATGAGTCACTGTTATTGTCATTGCTAAGAGTTGTGTTTGTGCCACACCTTCAAGCCACTTTAAGACACTACACTGATTATTTTCAACGTAAATAGTGGATTCGTCTCCCACTATATTTCTCCCATTACCATTGTACAGTTAAATAGCACTGACTTACAGTATTCACAAAGATGCTATAGGCCTACTTAGGTCATGTATGAGTCACTACCTGGCACTTGGAACACTGGCGGCCATTGTTGTTGTCGTGCTGTAATGCTCTCTAAAGTGGCATTGTGTTGCATTGTCCTCTGCTGTCACTGACAGAAAGGACAAAAACTGATGGAGCAACGCATGCCTCCTCAACTTTGATCAAATTTACAGCAAATCCCATTTATATTATTGTAATTACTCTAGTCGATGAAATCTAACTTGGAAAAAAAAAAACAAAGCAAAAAAAAAACACTGTTCCAGAAATTCAGGGGGAAAAAAACGTGTACAGTAACCAAATTTTAAGACTCTTGAAAACTGAAATCACTAAAATAGCTTTCAAGCTCTGTGAATAGTCATTTAGTTCAATGTAAAGCAGCACAGCTTCTGAAGGACTTGAACAATGTCTCATGAATAAATATGTTTCCACTGTTGCTTGAAACGTCCCACATTACATGCTCACACAGAGTCACTGACAGATAGGCATGCACACATACAGTACATACTCACAGTCTGAGGGCTGATCTGGTTTTTGCTTAACGTCATTTAACTATCAGTTAGAATATTCATAATACTTGGTGAGAATAAAACGTGATCCAGTGAATTCTCCATTATGATTGTAACAAAAGGCAGAATGTATTTTTACATCAGCTGTGGTAATGATTTGATTTACTTGCTGTTATTTGAAGGAAAACCAGGATTTTTATGTTGTGAGGGACAGATAATGTGTTTTTCTTTGTCCCTGGTACAGAGAGACCAGGAAGATGAGATGGAAGATAGGACTAGCACACACGCACAAACACGCTTGACAACAATATGGCACCACAAGCAAATGTACACACGTCCCCATTGTTCTATTGTTCTTTTCCATTCAGCAGAATTTCTCGTACTGTTTACATAAATGAGTCAAACAAAGATTTTTCTTTTCAAGCTGCTGTACTCAGTAGAGTACTGTACTCTGTGCTCAGTAAATACGTACAGCTGAAAGATTTTTCAAAGAACTCTGTATCTGTAATCATAAAAATGTAAACACACACCATTTCCCTCAGTAGACGATACAACTTTTATTGTATTTTACTGGCAGACAGAGAAAAGGGTTATTGAAGGATATCAGGTATGAAATATTATAATGAGTTCAATTTTCTCTAAACAGTCTCGTGTGGCTTTTCAAAGAAAACAAAAAGCAAAACAGAGTAACATTAAATATAAAATAATTACAAAGGAGCAAATTCAAGAAGAGGAAAAACAGGTTTGTCATCATTTGGGGTGGATTTGTGGAATTCTTTCAGACATTTTAGAACTTAGACATAACCTTTGACTTGTGTGGCAGGTGCCCTGCGAGGACTACTTTCTCCACTGCTGAAGGTGGGAGAGCCTGGGATGCCAGGAGGACTTGACCCTGCATAGAGCAGAGATCCCCCAATGAGGAGCAGGGCTGCTGCCCCCCAGCCGATGTAGAGGGCAGGGCCAAGCTCACGCTTGTGTGGAGCTGCCACATGTGGATCATAGAAATCCCTGATGATGGAGTGGGCAGTCCAGCAGACGGGCACAAGGTAGAGGAACCCTGCGATGGCAAAAAGGGCACCAGAAATGCGAGCGATGCGAGCCTTGACGCTGTTTACACCGATGCATTTAGTGCACTTGACTCCTAAGACCCCCAGAGCCAGAGCCAGGCCACAAAGCAGGATGGAGAACACCGTGAGGCCGCGGGCCGCCTGCATGTCACTGGGCAGAGCCAGCAAGCTATCATACACCTTACACTGGATCTGACCTGTGCTCTGCACTATGCAATTCATCCAAAGGCCTTCCCAAATGATCTGAGCTGTCACTATGTTGTTACCGATGAAGGCAGTGACTCGCCACAGGGGGATGGCACAGACTACTAACCCACCTACCCAGCCCACAATGGACATGATCAGGCCCAGCAACTGCATGCCTGTGGTTGCCATGGCGGAGGTTTTGTTTGAATCAGATGGATTTGTCTTTGTTTGATATCAGTCTCTGCTGCACAGGGCCAATGTATAGTCCCACAACGAGATGTGACAGTCTGTGGTACTAGAAGTGTTGTGGTCCACCCCTCGGTCCACTGTCTATGATATCGATGGGGTCAGCGTGGGGAAGACAAGGACAGGTATCCTGAAAACACAAAATAAAAAATTATTCTCTTCGTCATCAAATACGCAGTGCAGCAGAACTCACAAAGTCATACGACAAATAATATCAAATGTTGGTGTTATTTACCACAATGAGCTTTACATTACTAAAGTATGAAAAGTCTAATGGAGCAAATATTTATCATAAATATTTGGAAACAGGCTGGGAGGCCCATGTTTAGTGGATTCCAGTGAGAACCACAGAGAATGGGCTTCTTTGACACAGCTGTGGGTGTCGAGCTACGCCTTGCCGGGTGAGTGGATTATCTCAGAAAAACATGAGGAGACTCTGAACACAAGCAGCTTTCATGCAAGCTTGTAGAGTGGGCCAGGAGGACCTGTGTCATCTATTTATCACAGTTCTCAGTATCTATATTTTACCTATTCTGTGAATCAAGCTCTCCATAAACAAGGTCAGTTCAGGGGTTGCCTCATGACACAAAGCATCAGAGCACTACATTGGCTCCCTATTTAATAGGAATGTAACCAACACCCATTAATCTGATAGATTTTTATGAGATTTGATTGCAAATTTATAGATTTATATAAGGTCTCAAAACTGCAATAATTATAAAACATTCATTCTTCTGTTGTTTCTCAGCATTGTGCACAATGTCACAGAGATACATGACTTCTTATTTTCCTGTTGTCCACTTGGTAGTAACTGACAGACTTTCCTTGGACCTGTCTTTAGAATTTTCTGTGTCATCCCAGGAAATAATTGCAAACATTGCAAAGGAGCAGGATCAACTGATAACATCCTACACCTGCCTCCAACAGCCTTATACAGGGACAACACAAATAGTGACATGGCTAAACAAGCCATACAATAAGTGTTTTATATATTCAGAAGTAACCTATTTCACAAGTTCACTATTATTAGTTTTTCAGTGAAGGTTTTTGAGTTTTCTGAAAACATCACTAATGCACTGGATATTATTCAGGATATTTACCTCAGATGAAGTATGCTCCTCCTTGGAGATGATCCACTGGTTAATGTTTGTATTCAGGTCCTTTTCTTGTTTGGACACCTGAAGTTGTGAATGACGGCCCTGAGAATTCAGTTCAGTCAAAAGAAAAGGCCAGAGAGCAGAGGAGGCTCTACCTCAGAGGTCGGGCGAACTGCAGCAGAGAGGGCTGATCAGCTTCAACACCCAGCACTGGACTGGAGACGGGGCTGCCCTCCGAGATGCCAGCGCGAATCTGTGTGGCAGTGGGCAGAAGCATGCGCTTGTGTGCACGACTGTGTCAGTGTGTGAATCCGTGAATGTGTTTGAGTGTGTCTCCCAGTGCCTGGTGTTCGGGCACAATGCCCTGCTGTTCGGCTGTGCCCTCCCTCCCCGCTCCTCGTCAACCTCTGTCCCAACCCTGCAGCCCCACACATCCATCCAACTCAGCAATCCCCTTTTTCTCCTCTTATTGGACTTTGACTCACTTGTTCATTTATGAGAGCCTTCTCTCTTCTTCTATCCTGCTTTTTTCTGTCCAGTATGTTTATGGGTTTCATTGAAGTTTTCGAGTGTAAGGAGTTTGGTCCTTCTGCACCCTGTTGTTCGCAGTCCTGACAGGGAAACGGTGGTTCATTGTAGATTGTGAAATGGATTTTTAAATTAATAAATATGTTGGATAGATACAAAAAGCATAAATACGGCAGCTCTATATATTGTGGAAATTTACTTTGAGGTTCAGATGCTGCAAAAACTAGAAGAGATAATTAAGGGAGCTGCATTTTTGCCACCATGGAGGCGTCCGGGACAGAAGAAAGGATGAAGCCTATCAGTGAAGTTATCGGTGAAGGTGTGAATGTGGACTCCTGATTCTGCACAGTAAAAGGACACCCGGCCTTCTGTGTAATCAAGGAACACGCCCACCCTCCTGGGTCGGTGATCTACAGCCACTGAGGTGAAGGGAGAGGTGTTGGCAATGTACTGGCCTCCAACCTTCAGGCTTAAAGTCCAAAAACCGTTTGCAGGGCAGACAGTGAACTTGCCCTTCCTGTTTACGGACTGCCTGGCAACACCCAGGTTCCATTCGATCTTTTCTCCAACCTCCACTTCCCAGTAGCACCTCCCACTGCTGAAGCTTTCTTTAGCCAGCACGTTTGCCACACGGTCAAATCGCTTCGGGTGATCCGGTACCTCCTGAAGCTTGTCCGTGTGCCTCACCTGTTTTCTGTCATCTGAGACAGACAGGAAGGGGTGTGCTGTCTTAGCACTGAGGTTGACATCCACTAAGAAAGAGGGAGGAGAAAAAGTGAAAAAGCATGAACACCTCCGGCATTAAAGGACTGCTCAATAAGGTGTGTGAAAAATGCTGGTTTAGAGGGGTTAAATTCTATATTTTAGCTTTTAAAACTACATGAAACCAATCTTTACTTAGTAAATAAATTGCAATACCGCTTCCATAATATCTTAAAATATTACACTCATACAGCTCATTCCACTATTCATAATAGGCAAACCATGAGACATAGTTAAGACAGCGACTGTTAAATTAAAGCACAATATGAACAATAACTCCCAATGCACTGATTAGAAGTCGAATGTGCAATTTCCAAGTTCATGTCAGACATGACAAAAGACTGAACCGACATTACATTTAAATGTTTTGTTAGAGTGCAGAAGAAAGTAAAGGAGGGGATCGTTGTTGGTAGAAATAACCTAAAGTGAGATGACAAAAACAGATCGCTGACAAATATTATTAGTGTCCACTAAGTATGATCCAGTAAGCACACTTGAATTCTCGTTTGTACGAAGTAGATTTTTATATTTCTTTTACCTAATGAATAAAAGCAAAAAATATGAATTTAGAGTGTAAGAAAAAAATGAAAATACTTTTCTTAACTAAACCAAATAAGACTATCCATCCACCCTGTATACACCGCTTAATCCTCACTAGGGTCACTGGAGTCTATCCCAACTGACTTAGGGTGAAGGCAGGGGACACCCTGGACAGGTCGCCAGTCTAAACTTAGAGACAGACAACCAAGCACACTCACATTCACACCTACGGACAATTTAGAATCATCAATTAACCTCAGCATGTTTCTGGACTGTGAGAGGAAGCTAGAGAACCCAGAGAGAACCCACGCTGCACGGGGAGAATATACAAATGCAGAAAGATCCCAGTGCTCCAGGACGCGACGCGGCGACCTTCTTGCTGCGAGGCAACAGTGTTACCAACTGCGCCACCTTAAAGCCCCAAATAAGACTAGTCTCCTCTTAACAAAGTGAAAAAAATACATAACCCTTCTCTGATCTTTCCTCCCTGTAATTATTTGTGCACAGTTCCCATTATTTGTTTCTGCATAGTCAAAGGATTACCTGAGTATTTCTCTATTCTCCTGAGTTCTGAGGAAGAGACACAAAAAAAGAAACATTGAATGTATTATCAGATGCTAACTGATTAGCCATGACCAAAGTGACATTACTCACCAGCTTTAGAGAGTCTGTTGACTTCTACCTTTATTTTTTCCAATATGTCAGACAACGCTTTTCTAGCTACCCCAACACAAGGGTCCGTTTCTATGGTAACCTTGGACCAGTCCTTCATCTCCGAGAGCTGTTGAAAACAATGATCGGTATTATATAAACTGATTGCCTCCTCATCGTCATCATGTTGCAGATGGAGATGCTTACCCTGGAAATCTGCTGTGTGTCGTCACTTTGATCCCCGTTCACAGAAATCACAGGGTCAGGTCCGTCCATTTCCTTCCTCAGCTCCTGGATCTCCTGTTCGATCTCTTTCATCAGTATTTCCACTCTCTTCTCCTCATCTCTCTGTTTCTCCTCAATGGCAGCAACAACCGCTTTGTGACTCTTCTCCATGGCATTTACGAAGGCAGAGAAGACTTTCTGACTCTCTCGCACCTCTCTGAGGTAGGAGCTCTGATTGAACATTGATCATCATCATTTAGTGACACGTTTTTACAAATAAGCCAAGATTTTAATGTTAATTTAATGTTTTGTGTGTGTTATAGAGCTCACCCGCTGAAGCTCAAGAGAGTATTTCAGTCTTTCGATCTTCTGCAGCCTCTCCTGAATCATTTGCTCAACATCTATAACCTGCACATGTGTGACAGTGATATAAACACACACAAATATACTAGATTCATCAGATTACATCACATGTGATTAAATGACTGATATAAGCACAAAAAAAAAAAAAAAAGGTACCATTTCCTCATCTGGGGGTTTCTCAGGTCGAGTCTTCCTGTAGTTTTCAGACACATCTGCCAGAATGTGGTTGACACTGAGGTCAGGCCGGTCAGCAAACAATCTCCGGCAGTAAGGGCAGTATTTAGACTGGTGTCGTGTCCAGTAGTGGCAGAGACAGGACAGGCAGAAGCTGTGTCCACATGGTATGGTCACTGGGCTGCTGAAGATGTCTCGACACAGAGAGCAGAGAAAATGCTTCTCGGAGAGGAGGCCGATGGTAGCAGCCATGCTCTGGAAAAGATCAGGAAATGATATCAACAAAGTATCAGACAAACCTGTTTCCTCCTGTTCTTTTTTTTTGTTGTTGTTCAAAGTCGTCCTTGACTAAGTTTGCACGTCCACAAGCATTATGTCAAGGTTGTGGTAAATAAGGTAACGCCAGAAAAATCAAAACTCTAAAGTGAGAACGTGCCTGAATCCTTGGATTAACAAAAGGAGAGAGGGCACCTTTGTAGTTCATGCAGGCAACATCCAAAATAAATGTCTTTTTTTTTTGTAAATCAATGCAGTTTTGATATAAGAAGGAGCTTCTGGTGATAGTAACTGAACATCTAGTATTTTACAAATAGTCCATTCCAATTTAAAGCAAAAGTATTGAACTATTTTTAAGTGCTTCAGCGGTTGGACCTCGTTTTAGTTCTTGATAGTGCTTCATCCGTCATCCAAGAGGTTTTCTCAGTTCTAACTGAATGGTGTGAAGTCATTCTCACCCTAAATCATACGGCCCACAACCTATTAATACCCAAGACACACATGAGTCTAGATGGTACTGTTAGTGAGACCGCCTGGGGAGAGGAGTGAGTTATAAGGATGTGATAAGTAGTAAGTAATAAGTGGAATTATTTACAATATCTGCAAGATGAAAAGAAATACTCTTTTTAGAGTCTTTTTTCCCCCATTTTGTAATGCCGTTTCCTGTTGTTTTTATTTTATTTGTATTTTTATTTATTGTAATGGTCCTCTTTTTTTTTTTTTTAACAATAATACTTTGTAGAATATATAGATGTGTTACTTTTTCTAATTTAATAATTTTATTAATGCATAAAGGTGTAAGTTACATTTTTTGTTCATATTATTGAAGGTAGGGTTAGTTTCTTTACATTTAGATAGCTTCATCCAGTAGTTTCCATGCTGGAGGTCAACCCCCTCCAAAGGGACATGAGCTTGAAAAAATGGAGCGAGCAGGAAGGGAAAATTGACACAAAAAAATGACAACTGAAAGGATAGATGTTTTATTAATAGAACCACTCACTGGACTTTTTTTTGTCGCTGTTGTTAAATGAGAAATTGTAAACCAAAATAGTTGTCACGTGTTTTGTTTTGTTTTTTTTTAAAATGTAGAATCTTGTTTTGTAAAGCAGCTAAATTTAACTTTCAGTAAATTTGTAGTAAAAACTACAATGTTTCAAAAATGTGGTTGAATAAAATTGTAATGTCCCAGAATACTCAAGTTAATGTTGAAGATTATGTTCTTATTGGCACTGTGAGAGGCATTTCCTTGAGTTCAAGGTCAGCGACATTATCAGAGAACAGTAGCAGCGAAGTAAAGAATGTGGAGAAAACTATGCAGTCAAACAGGTAGCAACCACAATATTTCTTGCTAAAATTTAGTAGATAAAACTGTAAAATTGAAAATGAAAATACTCAAGTCAAGTACGGGTAGTCTGAAACTTTGCTTAAGTACAGTACTAGAATAAATGTATTTGTTATCTTTTCTTGCCATATGTTGTTTAATGGTTTTCTTTTAAAGCTACTTACTGCAAATTTAACAAAGAACGAAAATTTGAAATCTGCCTCGATTTTGATAAACGCATCGTAGCATCCGTTCAAATATTCAGTCACCAGTACTTGTCAATAACCGCGAAAAGAAGGAGCATTCACACAGAATTAAGAGACAGAAATATTTTCACCGCAGCTATGCAGCATTTCCGGAAACCTCAGGAGAAATGGAACATCGTGTTCTTGAGCAGAATGGTTTTACTGTCATATTAAACCCTATGATGATACGCAATGAAGAGAATGTGATTGCGTTTTACTGGACTAGCACTGAACCCTTCCTGTCTGATTGTTTTCTACCACAGTCTTTTCTTTTTGCAACCATTTAAGTTCTTTGTGTTCGAGGTCGGATGAACAAACACAGAGCGGAAGCAGCTACGTAAAGGATGTGATGTAAAATATGTTGTCAGGCAGGTAGCAACCAAATAGTTTGTTACAGCATTGGGGAGATACAACTCAACACAAAGCAGAAACTACTAAAATCTTAAGGTTGTTAATCACATAATGTGCAGTTCCTTTTTGTTCTCGATCGGGAATCAATGTGAGATTATGTAACACGATCATAAGATGATTCAGAGAAGTAAATCAGACGGCGGCTAGCGCTTTAAAAGTCAAACAGAAACAAAAAGATACCCCGTAAGGTAATGTGGTCTTACCTGTTGAAGTCGTTCTTCCTAGGTAGTACTGCTGTTGGTCTGTGCTGCTTCTTCTTGCAGTTCGAGGTAATAGTGTGTAAAGACTACACTGGGTATGAGTCAACAGGTGCATTAAGGTATGTGTGTGTTGTCTAGGAATGGGGCAGTGCTTTAGACAATGGCATGCTCAGTTGAGTCTCCACCCTAAATGTTATCTGAGCTACAGTTTAACTAACTCACCCGGAAATGTTGGAGGTTGAGTGCACACAAAGAACTGCAGCTATATCACACCTGTTTAACTGTATTTATTTGTAATGGATTATTTTACAGTTTGAATCAGCTATGGGGTTTTGTCATGACACTGGTTTAAGTATCTAAACTCTCTTAACTTCTGTGCTAAAACTGTGCATACTATGCGAGACTTGAGTATTATGTGTAGAGGACATTTGCACAAATACAGGAAAATAGCAATAAACTTTGCATTTCAGCCTAAAGGTACTCCGACATCCGCATTTAATTTGGTATCAGGTTAGCCAGGAAGTTACCTGAGAAAAACTATTGAACACAAAAAGCTCATGATGTTCTTTTTGTCTAATATGGTCATCAGTCAAACCACAATGTCATGTCCGAGGAGCTGCAAAGAAGCGATTGATGAAGATGGAGTTGAAGTTGAGTCTGGCAGGTGGAGCCACTTTGTTCTCTATGTGTTCTATTGCCACCTGTGCGGTTCCCCCTCCTGATCCACCAACAGCTCCACCTATTAAGCCATACAGAACCATCCCTCCTGGCCCTTCTATAGCCCCAACCAGTGCACCCAGCACCGCTCCCACAACAAAACCCGACCCCAGTCCTCTTGCCAGGGAGGTTCTGAGCCAGCTGTTGTCTATCTCCGCCTTGGCTCTGATCTCTGCGCTGATATTGGCAGTATAGGCGTCCTTGTGGAAATACAGATCCTCTTCCAGGTATTGCTTCTCCATCTCATCCCATGCCTTCTCTATTTCTGCTGCCCTCTGCTTCCTGAGCCTCTTCTCCTCCTTCATCACGCTGTCCTCTGCCTTCTGGAAAGATGGGCTGGAGAAGAAGGCCCCTGCCAGTGAGGCAACCATCCACTCGATCTTCTGCAGCAGCTCTCTCTCCTGGCTTCGGTCTCTCCAGTCCTTTTTGAAAACATGAAAGCGTCCGCCGTGCTTCTCGATCAGCTCTCTCAGGTACCAGTCTCTCTTCCGAACTCTATCTTCGAGGGCAGCTCCCTCCAGATCACCTTCATAGGCCAGGAGAACCATGCAGTGCCTGAGACACTGCCTCCCAAAGCGTTCCTTCATCAGTCGAATGGTGTTCATGTCATTCAGGGAGATTGTCTCCATATCAAAGGCAACTAGAAAGGCATGGGGACCAGGTATACATAAACACTTAGACCGTCTCAGCTCCATCTTCCTCTTGGCCTGAGACAAATCCTTGTCATAGATGTTTGGTCCGTTGATCACCACCACTCGTCTACCAGCGAGCTCTCCAGTGCTCTTCATGCTGCCAGAAATGCTAGCAACATCCTTGGGGAACTCCTTTCTTCCAAGTATGACATTGGTTAGTTGGAACTGCGAGGGTCCACTGCTACCAACCACCATCAGCCTCAGTTCTGTCGCAGATGCTGCAAAAAGATTCAGTCTGGTTCAGTTTGAGGAATTTATTTACAGACACATTTTATTTTCAGACGACTGACTATTGCAAATACAAGAGCAATCATTTCAGACTGTGCTTTATTCCCACTTGTATCGCACTGCTCAACGATGCCAGCTGCATCTGAACTCTTGATGTGTCCGGACACATATTTGATCCACGTGGCTGATCCCTGTTTCTTTTTGTTCTTTTGTCATTATGTAACTGTTTGCACAAGTGCAATAATGTGTTCCTACTGGTGCAATAAGGTTTTTTTTTATGGGTGTGCGATGCAGATTGCGTTTTAGATGTTAAGATTTATTACATTTATGGTTTCATTATTACTACATTTATGGTTTACTCTATCTCGATGTGTTCTTCTTGTTCTATTACTGTACTGGAGCTGTTAAAACTTGCTGACATTTGGAGACAATAAAGCATATCTTATCCTATCTTATCTGATCTAATGTTATTTTAAGCAACACCACTTCTATGTGGAAAAATTATTGTGCATTTGTTAACATGTATGATAAGTTGTACAAGAAAGTATGCAAAATGCAAACACAAAAATTAAGAATGATTTCATTTACTGTCCTTGAGGTGACAAGGAGATTTTGTTTTTTTGTTTTTTGTTCACCTTTTCTACATATTGTATTTCTGTGCACACATACGCCCAGTTCATGCACCTAATTTTCATTTTCAGCATTTAATATTTCATGCATTGCTTTATTTTTGCATTATTATGAGATATAGTGTTGCAGGGGTTTTTTTTGTTGTTGTTGTTGTTTGCTTTTATTTTTTTGCATTGTTTGCTTGTTATATAGATAACACAAGTAAGAAATTTGCTTTTTCTTGTTTTAAAAATAAATAAATAAATGAAGTCCTCCTCCCCACTTCAATAACTTTCACACAATTCCATATCTGACAAACAGCTTGATATAGTCCACCTTTGTGGAATGTGAGTAAAGTTCAAGCTGGTTCTATTTGCGGCACTTATATAATAAATCTGACAGCTTACCTTTCTTCCTCTTCTCCATTTGGCTGATTTGCAGCACAGATTCACTCTTTTGTTGTGGATTATCACGAAATTCTTCAGCTTCTTAGTCTCCCATAGTCAGCTGTATCTCCACAGCGCTGTGTAGCAGCTTCCTGACAAGCTTGCATGTATCCAGTGAAAACATATCCCTATGTGCTTCCCCTCTCTCCCTCTCTGCCTCTGCTGATTAGGTAATTGGGTACCAGAATTAATATTTAGCGGAAAATGTCCTCGGGGTTCAGAAACTGGCAGCGTGTGCATTCACATTTATTGACGGCTCTATTTAAATGCTTTATTTATTACTAAATAAATGACTGTGTGTTGTCACATTTTGGAAACAGCATAGTGAAGGGGGAGAGCAGTTACATACTTTCTGTGCTGTAGAAGTTGACTGGTCCATTTCTCCACTTTCACACAGACTTACATCAAATAGGGGGATTTGTGTATCCGACATAATCACAAACTCCGAAGCGTTAATCACTGCTGATCAAGGATGCTCATTTAAAAACTGTCCACTGACAGATCTGTGTTTGTTCTTATTTATCTCAAACTGATGAAAATGTTTCATAAATTGCATCCCAGATGAGTGATTTCTTTCACAACCCTATGTGGGATCTTTCTTTTTACTTTTCCATTAAAATAAACACTTTAAAAAGACATTAAAGTAATCCTGGATGGGTTTTTCACTGCATCAGACCGGGTGTTTTCCCCGTATTCAGGGAAATCAATAGCTCATTAAAATAGTTTGATCCTGTCTGAGTGCAGCGTAAATTTATACACCAAAAATAGATTTGTGTCTTTATGTGTCATCAGTGTAACAAGAAATGTTTCATTCAACCTCATTAAGGTCAAAACAAATGTATTAGACGAAGTATTCAGATGTCCACGTGTGCTTTATGGTCATGAATGTTTGCATTACAAATACACCGAAGGCGTAAAGGACTTTATGAACTCGCTGTAGTTTCATCAGTTATCTGTATATAAATATATATATATTTTTCCTGATACATACACACAGCATCTGTTTAATATAAGAAAACTCAAAACTGCTTGTGATAAATTAATTGTTTAATAGTTTAAAGCAAGTGATAATAAAAAAGGCTTTTAATTAGGCGTCAAACAAAGTGGCTGTTTACATTTGTGTCAAACATTCTTTTTTTGTTTTATTGTAAAGCAGCATTGAGCCATTTTGAACAGGTTCTGGTTAGATATACATTGAAATGGACACTTTGAAGTGCACCATTTACTAACTTGTTTTTAGTTCTCCAGCAGAAAACTTGCCCCATATTTATTAGCTATATCACTCAAAATTAAATATTTATTGTTTCTAATTTTAGTGACACTCTTTAGTGTAAATTCTCAGAATCACCACAGTGGTTCTGAGATGTTTACACGGTGAAATATACCAAATAAAATAACAGCCTGCAGAAAGAGTGAACTCATCTTTAACAAACTGCCTTAATAACTCACTCACACTGACAGTCCTGCACAGTTGGACTAAATTATGCGGCACTGCACCGTAAAAGACGATATAACATAGTGAACTGTGCACAGCAGCCATTTGGAAAGCTGTACATCGCTGGCTTATTCTGGGAAAACAGCGCACCCGTGTGGACAAACTGTGAACACGCAAAGAGGAAGCGACATTTTGTATTTCCTGGATTTGGAGTGACGTCACAGCACGTAGAAACAGCATGACCTGAAGCTGGTTTGTTTGCTGTTACTTGTTGTTGAAACTGAGGCAGTTTGTGTTTGAACGATGGAGACGGACGCTGCAGCGCCAGACTTCAGGTGACGCGCTCAGACAGTCAAGTGTGCGGCAGGACGCACAAACTCCGTCACCAACATGATCAGAGTCACATGTCGTGCAGCCAGTCGTGTCCTCTATCCCGGCGTGCGCTGCTTCTCCGGTGGAGAAGTGACTGAAGATGCTCCTGAATGGGCTGGAGCTCCACATCTCACAAAGCAGGCGTCTCTCTATGTACACGTGAGCTGGCTTTGGTCTCTACAGTCAGGACTTTTACGCACAGAAAGGCGCATTTGTTAACGCACACATCTGTGTTTATGTTTGTTGTTTATTTGAATATGTAGAAAGTGTGCCCAAGTTCTATTATCTGTCTCCCTTATGGAGTAATTTGTATTCATTTTCTGTTCAGATTTTGTGATGTTTTCTCTCACAACCCTTCCCTCTCTCTCAGATATGGCCCAGCTCTCATAGTAATGTAAACGTTGTCTGCACTCAGTTATACTGTTGCCGAACACATTTTCTTCAGTTTGAGTGCATCTCCAGGATCTCAGACTGCTTTTTGTGTTCTCGCCAAACTTCTGCTCTTCAGTTTGTACTTAGGCTCTCCGACCTTTGTGAAACAACCCCATCAAAAGCCCCAAGACGACAGAATGCCTGTAGTCTTGTTGGCAAATTAAGCATTCCAAATTCTGAGCAGAGAATAAAGAAATGATACTCTCAAACTGAAAGACCACGCTCTTGAACAAAGATAGCAAGACAAACCTCCATACTCCTTCCCTCTACAGTGGCCTTACTGTCTCAGGAGGTGCTCCTACTGCAATTTTAACAAGTATATACCCAAAAAGAACAACGACCACATCATGACTAAGTGCCTTCAGTGGGAGACTGAAACACTGCTGCAGCTCAGCCAAGTATCCTGGTATATTGATTTATTTGACCTTCCACTTGAAGCCTACTACTCCAACCGGCAGCCTCCAACTAATTCCCTCACCATGCTCTGATTTCATTTGCAGCATCACCTCTGTGTTTTTCGGTGGTGGGACTCCAAGCCTGACTCACCCCTCCACCATCGCCGCCATCCTTGAAACCGTTAGCAGGCGGGCGAGTCTTTCAGATGAGGCTGAAGTCACGCTCGAGGTCAACCCCACTCCTTCGGGGATGTCAAAGTTAGAGGATTACCACCGAGCTGGGGTGAACCGCTTCTCCATTGGGGTCCAGGTAAGTACAATCCATGGAATAGTAATCACAGAATACATGGTATCATAGCAGGTTTAATATCGTTTTTTATTGTTTTAGTCTTTGCAGGATGAGGACTTGGAAAGCCTGGGAAGAGACCACAGCTCTCAGGATGCTTTGAAAACTATTGAAGAAGCCAGGAGGCTCTGCCCCGGCAGGGTGTCGGTGGATGTCATGTTCGGGCGGCCCAAACAGACGGTTGAATCCTGGGAAAGAGAGTTGTCTGAGCTGTTGAGGGTTTGCGATGACCACGTGTCTCTGTACCAGCTGACCCTGGAGAGAGGCACCCAGCTTTTTAAACAGGTACAATGCGGGCAAGTGACCGTGCCCACTGAGGAAGAGACGGCAGAGATGTACCAGTGTGCCAGGAAGACTCTGCACCAGCACGGTTTCCTGCAGTATGAGGTGTCTAATTTTGCGAGACATGTAAGTTTTTAGCAGAAAGACATTTCACTGATTGTCTACCGTGGTATTTTCCCCCCCTCACCTATGCAAGACACTGATTCCATCCCAGAGGTTGTAGGAAAGGCAAGTTTGTTACTTTATTTAAATACTGAAAGCATGAAACTACATTTAAATGGAAATGGAAAAACGATATGAAATGTAGATAAGACAAAAATTGAGGATATGATAGGAATAAAAGTTTTAACATTACAGATTATTTGTAGGGTAAAATATATAGACTCATCTGCTGTAATATCAAAAAAAACCCCAAACTTAATAAAAAGATTAGCAAAAATATTTAGCTCAGATGTTAGAGGAGGTTTGTTTAGATTGCCAGCGACTAAAAAGGTTGCTTCATAGTTTGCTTTACCTTGTTTATAATTCTTAGAAATGTTTTAAAATTAAACTGCCTTTTTTTATTTGTGGTTCTTGTTTCTGCAGGAGCTGTTCCACATACATTCAGTAGGCATTTCTCTGTATAGCAATTGTTGTGTAGGTAAAAGGGATTGTTTGTACAACCTTCAAATATTTTTAAATGTGTTAGTCTGTATGGAAGAATATGGTGTGGCTCAAGCTTCTAATTCATATGAGTTAAAATCTTGAATTTTCACGACGTTTTAAGGTGACGGAAAGTTAATGGCTTGACTTGATGGTTTTCAGTTTTTAGTGTAATGGATTTGAAGCGCGTCGTTGTTCATCCTTTAACACTGATTCGCGTTTTTGTCAAAACCCTGCAGATGTAGTGATGCTGAGCAGGGAGAGTCTAATGGGTTTTAGTGAATAATTCATGTATATTATTGTCTGTAGCATCACATATTTAGAAAAAAAAAGAAGCAAATACAAGTTCTGCATCAAACACACATTAAAAACGAGTCTGTCTTCGAATGTTGTTGTCGCTTAACAGTGTTAAAGAGCAAAAGAAAAAGGCTTCATTACTTGGAAATCCAAAGACGTGTACTGCTTTGAGGCTAATTATTACTTAGTTGCAATAATTTTTGACAACCACCGTAAATACTTCCCACTCACACGTATTCAAAACAACTGGATGAAACAAACACAAATGTTTCAATCACAATGTTCATCCTCTTCTTCTGCTGCCGTTTAATGGCACCAAATGTTCATCTCGAGGCGCTTTACGTCTAATAATATTGTCTGCATTTCAGTGAGCATCTGTGACAGTAACGTCATGAAATCTGTTTCACCACAATGCTGCCTTGGATGCGTTTCAGTTTTAAAGCCAATGAAAAAGTGAAGAGCAATTAGTTAGAGGAAGCGCTTTACTGAAAAAAAAAAGTAGTTTTCCAATGAGCTAATATCACTAATCTAGAATTAACAGAGGCATAAACTCATCAGAAAAACACAATTACTCTGCTTATTGCTAATTGGAATTATTTTTGTGGTGATTAGTCATCAACTAAAATGTCACGATCATGATCGCCGTTCTGCGTTTTTAATTTCGAGTGATGCACTTGAGCATCATAAAGCTTGTTTGCTTTGTTTTTGATGTGCGGCTTCCATCAACACTCCATTAACAAGGCAGATGTCTTGTCTGATTTGCACCATATTGGCTCATGAACACATCTAGAGGAACAGTCACACCTGCTCGATGACGCTTTTCTTTGTGTTGTGTAGAACTCAGTGAGTCACCACAACATGAGCTACTGGAAAGGAGAACAATACATCGGGGTCGGCCCAGGTAATATATTCCACACATTGAAGCAGTAAATCACGTTGGCTGTATTTGTGGAAATGTGTGTGTGTGTGTGTAACAGGAGCACACGGGCGGTTCGTTCCTCTCGGGGAGGGAGGAGTTTTTCGGGAAGCCCGGACCCAGACCCTGGAGCCTGACGTGTGGATGAGGGAGGTCCAGCAGAGGGGACATGGGACACGGAGGCGGATTCAACTCAGTCATCTTGAACTGTGAGCTGTTGCACTTACACACTGTAGCGTTGCGTCTTGTAATGGACATATTTAGTAAATCCACAAGACAACAGCTGCAGCTCCACAAATACTCTGCTCCTGTGAATTGTGACAATAAAGTCTCAGCCAGTCCTCGTTACTAACAGTGTGTGGAGATCATGTTGTCTGCTTGTTCTTTCAAACATTCTGTCCTTGTGGGAACTTATCAGTCTCGCATTTAGTCCATTTACTCTCTCTGTTCTGTCCTTGAGTTGAGTTATGAGACATGTTTGTTTGGCAGATTGCAGGAGGTGTTGGTGATGGGAATGAGAATGACCAAGGGCATTAATCACAAGGTGAAGCACACACACAAAATCAACTCTTTCTGTGCAACCTTCTCTGTCACTGAAGTCACAGTCCAGTATTCAGTTATTTCTCGTAAATGTAATAATGTTGTTGGTGCTCATGTTTTCGTACTTTACAGCACTGGCGGTTGTTTAGCCCCCAGATAGGCCTCCACAAAATCCTTGGTGCATCTATGGATGTCCAGGAGCTGCTGCAGAGTGGACGACTGATTCTTGATGACAGGTGACGTCTGACTATCTTTTTAAACTTGTGGAGTTTTACATATAGTTTTAGTGGCAAAACAAAGAGATTCCCCACCTGTGTAGAGTCAGAACCATAGACTGTATAAAAGATGGACGTAGCTACCGTGACGTCACCCGTTGGTTTCTGCACTGAGAAAATGAAGCCAGGGTTTTGCTACTTCCTGGTTGACATCTTGGATTTTTGGAGCCAGTGATGCAAAAATCGTCAGAGGGGGGCGGAGCCATAGGAGCAGCGATTGGTCAGATGGATTGAGAGGCAGGCCCTCTCTGCCCGCCCACATTTACCGCCTTCTGCTCGCTTCGTCTGTATGGTCGCTGCCGACTGTCAATCAAGCCAGCCACGCCCCTTGCCCCGAAAAATGTTGACAATTTTTTTTAAAATTTATTATTGACTTATTTTCAGATTGGCCACCTGATCTCTGGATTTGACGATGAAAACTAATAAGAAAAAAATCCTGAGCTGTAGGAATGCGGTATTTCGTGATCTGTGATCACTTCTTTTCCAATTCATTTCTATGGGAGCCAGGGCTTTTTGGAGCCAGCAGCTAGCGGACGTAGGTATTTGACACTTCTGGGTTGGCTTCATTTTTCAGGGCCGGTTGCTACGTCCATCTTTTATACAGTCTATGGTCAGAACTAGCAATTAATTTCAGCATCCATTATTATTTTCTTTCTTGTGAAAATACCTGTCATAATATTAATGGATAATAATTCAAATAACTGTTTAAAACAGTTGCATAAAATCCCAAAAATGTTCAGTTCACTGTAGTAAATAATGAGCATCAGCTTTTGAGGAGCTGGAACCAGGGAATGTTTGACCTGCTCAAATAATGATTAATTTACTATTAAAGTAGCTGCAGATGCATTATTTGCTGATCACGTTATGAATTCATAGAGCAGTGATTTGAGCCCTGCGCTTCATTGCGTCTGAATCTCCCCCATCCTCTGTCCTTACCAGGGGGCTGCGCTGCTCCTGGGATGGACTGGCCCTACTGGACAGCATACTTCCAACTCTGCTGGTGGAGCTGGAAAGACAAATTCTTCACAGGCCACAGAGTGTTTGCTGATGGACAAACAAAGAAAACCCCAACCCTCGAGGGCAGTTGTGTTAACAGAGTGGAGAACTTCATAAGAAGCATGTTTGTATGGGGGCATTATTGTTGCAAAACTATTTGTCCATGCATATGGAGAGTTATCTGTCTGTATCTCAATCCGTATGTCCGAAGTGAGATTTGTCAGTGTGTAAAAGAAGCTGTCAATGCGAACCGGAATCTGCAAAAGTCGTCTCACAATTTGTCTGTCTGTAATCAGATGTTCAATGCCGAGCTAAGCGGTAGCAGCCATGATCCTGTGAGCCTGAGCTCAGGACACAGAAACCCTGATTTTCTGATACTTTTCAGTTTCCGATCTCTTACTGTAGAAGTGTAGCAAAAATCATGTGTTAAAAGACAGCCAATGGGGAAGCCGCTCAACTCGAATACGTAGACTTTTCAACTACAAATACCTCTGTATGCACTGACAACTCTTATTACATGTCCGAATTTTAATACAGACGAGCAGATTTTTTTACACATTTGAAAACCTGCAGATTCCGGTTCGCATTGACAACTTCTTTTACACACTGACAAATCTCACTTTGGACGAACAGATTGAGATACAGACAGACCACTCTCCATACGCATGGACAAATTGTTTGGCTACAATAATGCCTCTATCTTTGTGGCTGAAAAAACATATAAAAAGGATGAAAACAAATTGGCAGGATTTTGGTGTTGACAACCACTGCGAACCAGTCGATGTTCCATTTAGGTTTAATGCTACACGATTTGCATCCCTTGGTTCAGAAACCTGTGCCTTTTATATCTTATTATTCCAGTCTTGTTCTTCACACTGAGATTTGGAATGTTAGACGTTCATGTGTTTCTAAAAGCCTCTAGGTTCTATCGTGCATTTATTGCTACCCCGGAAACATTTCTCATTAAGCCATTAAACTGTCGTCTAAACAAGATTATTGCTCTCCTCTTACACAGGAAATTGTGTGAACTGATGAGGGCCTATTCAGTACATGCCCATTGAGAATTCATCTTTTTTTTTTTTTTATGCTGCTTTTATAAACACATCCTGTAAATAAATGAATGTAACTTTATGGCACCGGTCTTATTTGCGTGGCCACGAGGGTCGTCACACTGACAAACAAATGACATATTTATAATACATTTCTACAAGAAATATGCTGCATGTTTATCACATATAATTTATATAATTACCATTTTGAACTGTGACTTTCCTGCCCCGCTCTGACTGCAAGTCTATTCTTACAAAGGAAAAGTAATAGCTTTCTTTCATTTAAAAAGCCTTTAAAAGACTCTAATGTCATAATTTCCCTGGAGTTTTCTCAGAGAGCTCTATGAAATGTGATAGACAATGTGATGGCACAGGAATGGATATATTTAGGTGTTAATACAGAAGAACTTTGACAGAAACCCTTTCGGAAGTTTAGGCGCTGCTTATAAACTCAAGAAACTCAACTCATTTCAGTTAGTGAACAGTCTCAGAACTGTATTGTGTGGCGTCAAGTAAGACAATGTAAGAGAAGACAATGTGAACAATTTACTGTTATATTACTTTTTTTTTAAAAAAAATCATTTTACAGTAATTACAGGTAATAGTCACAGAGGGAAAAAAAAGTATTACTTTACATGGTCACCTAAAAAAAAAAAAAAAAAAGGTCAGAACCGTAAATGATATCTATAAGACAAATCTGTATTTTCACAAATGATAATTCCTTTGTTTTGTAACTTTTGACTGTAAATTTACATTATTTTTACTGTTTTTAAATCAGCAAAATTGTCTTTACTTTAAAAATATTTGCTGTTACTTGGAAAAAAAATGCATTTCTTTTCTCTGTTTTATTAAATTACAGATAATATCTAGTAAAATCACAAATAAAAAGTTTAATTTGCATGTTGCATTTTTAAAAAATTATATACAGTCTCTACATCAACAATCTATACTTTTGGGTATAGCAATTTGTTCTTTTACAATGGGTGACCATAATATTATACAGTTTTACTGTATGTAAATCATTTTAAAATATCACTATTTTACAGAAACTTGCCATTTTTTTGTTTGTTTTGTTTTTTGTACATTTTAAATGTTACAGTATTTTACCATTCTTAACATATTTCTTCTGGAACCCTCACGTCCACGTTTCCAGCTAATTTGGCCACATTAGATGGTATTTGAGCTTGCACTGCCCTTTTAAGGTCTTGCCACAGCATCTCAGTTAGATTCAAGTCTGGACTTTGACTCGGCCACTCCAAAACCTTAATTTTGTTCTTTTTTGAACCATTCAGAGGTGGCCTTGCTTGTGTGCTTTGGGTCATTGTCATGCTGCAGAACACATTTGTGTTGAGCTTTAGGTCATGAACTGATGGGTGGATATTCTCCAGGAGGATTTTCTGATAGAGAGCACAATTCATGGCTCCATCAATTATGACAAGTCGTTCAGGTTCTGTGGAAGCATCTTTGACTCATCAGTCCTCAGGATGTTATACCAAAGGTCTTGGGGCTCATCTAGATATTGTTTTGACAAATGCCACACGAGCCTTTATGTTCTTTTTGGACAGGAGTGGTTTACAGCTTGCATCTCTCCCATAGATGACATTTCTGCCCGTTGTCTTCCTTATTGTGGAACCGTGTACACTGACCTTAACTGAGGCCAGTGAGGTTTGCAGTTCTTCTGGTTTCTCCTGGATGAGATGTTGATGTGCTCTTGGAGACAGTTTGGTAGGATGGCCACTCCTGGGAAGGTTCACCACTGCTCATGTTTCTCCATTTGCAGATAATGACTCTCACTGTGGTTCTCTGGACTCCCGGAGCCTTAGCAATGGCTTTGTAACCCTTTCTAGACTAATGACTGTCAATGACTTTGTTCTCATCTGATTTCTTGAATCTCTTTAGAAAGCGGCATCACGTGCTACTTTTTGATGTCCTTTAGCTACTTCACAGCACCAGACAGGTTCTATTTAGATGACGGAACACAACTGCAAAATGGATCTGATCATTTGGTAGACTGACAAGTCTACACTATACAGTTTGTGGTTTTGAGGTTATCTTTGTTTTATATTAAAACAATTTTTATGATCTGAAACATTTAAGTGGGACAAATGTGCAAAAATAGAAGATATCTGGAGAGGGGCAAATCATTTTTCACAGCGCTGTATCATTTCATTTTCAGTCATTTCCAGTAATCATCAGCATCACCAAATCTGACCAGTCTTGCCATTGTTTCCTAAAAAAAAACAACAACTGTATGTCATCCAAAACTATATAATAGATATTTAAAGATTTGTTACAACCAAGCACATCTTGGAGCCAAGAGAAACAGTGTAAACCTCCTCAGATCTTTGTCCTTGCGTAGCCCTCCTACTCACTCCCACATCAAGCTCTGACACACTATTTTAGTCTCAGCTTGTATAATGGAGCATCAGTGGTTTATTTGATAGTCATAAACCATTATATGACCACATAATGTGTTTGAGCCTGAATATGATCTTATTTTAAGATCAGTATTTAGGTGTTTTCTACAGAGCAGAGAAGGAAATCTGTCAGTCTCCTTCAGAGTGACTGACAGAATGAGCACCTTCTGAGTAAAGACTTTCCATACAGCGTGTTAAACTTCATGTCAGAGTCAAAGCAGTAAGCTGAGCTTCCTCATCAGTGGTCTCTCTCCATGGTGCTGATTTCTCTCCCCTCGCCCTCCTCCCCTTCCTCTTCAACAGATGATGCTGTGACTGTTTCCTCGGAATAACCATGGTGATACGAGAGTGTGTAGACTGCTGATTAACAGCCATTGTCTCACCTCGGTCCTTGATGCTATTCACAACGTCGTGGGTGCTCAGGGCGAACAATCCCTCACGTCTCACAGCCTTAAAGACATTTAAGGTCGGTGTTTGAGTCATCCTCTGGCGTAGCTCAGCACCCTCCCACGCACCTATGATGGGGCTTTGCATCATCACTTGAGAAGAAATGACTGCTGACGTTCATGACAACAGTATCTGTCTATCTGCTCGTAAATGGGTTGTGTGTCTATAATAAACTGACTGATGGAATAGATGATAACAAAACACTTACGGTAATTAGAAATATTCAACTTTTATTATAGGACGATATAATACACTCATACATATACAAAAAAATAAGAACGCACCGGTCCAGCCAGGCGCTACAGAGTATAACTCCTTACATATATGATATTGCAGCATACTACTGCAATTGTTTTGTCGAGAAGCCTCACAATTCATTGAATCTGACACTTCTCGGGTTTGTTGTTTTTGGTGCTTGATCCAAGCACCAGCCGCAGGTCGCTGGTGAAACTCGGTCGGCGCGCCAGGGGGTCCACGGCGGCGCATGGCGCACCGAGCCCCGGCGTGCGGATCCCTCTCCTGCCTCTCCGGCCGACGCACAGCGACTGGTAGGTGGGGATGGAGATGAGCTGGTGTCGCGACGGACTGGTCTCGTCCGGCAGTCCTCCGAGAGAGGCGAGAGCTCTGAACACGCTCTCCAGCCCCGTGCCGTTCTTAGCTGAAGTTTCGAAATACGGGACGTCCTCTCCGAGGATCGTCCCCACTTCGGCGCGTCTCACCACTCTCTGTGCGTCCAGGTCCGCTTTATTGCCGCACATCACGGCTGGTACTCTGGCTGGACGCTTTGATTTCAGTAACTTTGCCTTTGCAGCTTGGATCTCGTTGAGCAGCTCGCAGGCTTCATTCAGAGACTCTCTGTCATCCAGACTGAAGACGAGCAGGAAGATGTCTCCTGGAGAGGAAGAGATCAACAGTTTGGTTATTAAATGCCAGTTTAAACGCATTATCACAGTATCTACTTAAACACACACAGGCCACAAAAATCATCCAACTAAGGCTGCAGATTCTCACCTGTCAGTATGGATAACCTCCGTTTTGCAGGGAAGTCCCTCTCACCCGCTGCGTCCAGCAGATCCACCTGATAAGTCTCTCCTCTTATGTGGAACAGCTTTCTATGGAAATCCTCGATTGTGTGTTCATAGTGCTCTTCAAATTCGTTCCCTAAGAACCTCTGGAGGATGTTGGTTTTACCTACTTTGGGCGCCCCCAGTACAACTATCCTGTGACAGTTCCTGGGTTTGGTCAAACCCAACTCCAGCCGGTCCACGGAGCGTTTGGGGACTCGCTCGATCGATACTTGCCGGTTGCCAGAACTCGAGGACCTGCTGGCTCCCACCCTGGCATCCTGTTGCCTCCAGCAGCCTTTGACGGTTTTGATGATGCCCATGCCTGTCTTCGTGATGTCTGAGACCTTGGGGTGCTGGAGGACCGGGCTGAGGGCAGCGCTCTGGTGAGCTGTGTGCGTGATGTGGGACTGCTGGTGCGCGGGGAGAGAGTTGAACATTTTGAGGATGCCGTCAACGGGAAGGTAAAACTTCTCAGTTGCGTTCATCTCAATGTTCTTTCAAGCGTCTCCGAGAGGCTCTCAAAAAAATCTTACCGACCCACTTGCCTGCCCATGTGTCCACTGTAGCAGCGCCGAGCGTCCTCTCTTATAAACCGAACCGAGCACAGCGGGCTTGCGTCACCAGGCTCATCCAGAATACTGTCCTTTTATAGAAGCATGAAGCCCCCCCACTCCTTGTCCATGAAAAAAAAAAAAAATGTAATTTTCCTTCTCTACACAAGCCTGATATATCAGTTTCAATTGGTGCATTGCAGCTCAACAAATATGTCCAACTTAAATCCAGACTTTTATTTCTGAGACAAACACTCAAAGTAAGAAACATCCTGATCTGTTCAAACCTAATCAGATGTGCTGCTCTATTTTTAGCAGCTTTTAAGGCAGGTGTTACCTGTCTCATTATGGATAAATGGACAGAGATAATTGCTCAAACCCCTGTAGTCATGGACACTGGGAGTGTGAAGCGCAAACACGAAATAATTACGTTCATTTTACGTTGATTGCTCGCAAAGCTGTCATGGTGACAATAATTATTTGCTGCACTTTGAGATTTTTTAGCTCTCAGTGTGTCCGTCTACCACTTGAAAATACATCCACTGTCTGGCATAGCTGTGCATTTGAAGTTTGATTATTCATGAGGCTTATATGAAGAGCACTTCCACACAAGATGCTTTATTTTCAACCATCACGACTTTTTCCTCAGTGTTAAGACTCAAGAAGCAGCTCCCTCTCTGCTCCATGATTCACAGAGCCTGGTGATGAGTCCTCTGCAGCATCACCACATCCAGTTACCTGATGTTATTTCCACTGCATAAAGACGCATCCATAAAAACTGGGAGCAGGGGTCATAAATTCAACTGTTACATACAAGAAGAAGAACATGATGGTATTCATTTGAAACTAAAGCAATGTACAGTGTGAATATGAAGGAGGAGAATACAGTGAAAGTTGAAGGACATGCCGTACTAACACGCTGAACAGTACCTTGTCAGTTTATTATGAAAGCCAGGACATGCTGCAAAGCTGTGGCTTCTCTTTATTAAATGATCCTTTTCAAAAGCCAAGGGCGTTCTGAATGAACAGTCTACATAACGGTTTCTTCATGAAAACCTCAAGAATTGGTTGGATAAGCAATCCTACAGAGAGGCCTGGCTGATTGCCATGCATGTAAGCTATAATTAAAATATATTTATTAATATACAGATTTTTTTTTCCAAATACCATATCTGTGAAATAATCATTTTTTTCTGATTTAAATAGAGTAAAAAAAATATTGTGCAGTCAGGTATAGTTAAAAAAAAAAATCACTATAAAAATCTAGATTTTTTGATGGTAACATTATTTACAATTTTGGCCCGGGAGTTAACATATAAATGAAAGTTTTTTTCTGTTATTTTTTATCTGCAGTTGAATAAAACTGAGAAATTCTTTAAGAAAGGGTTAAAACTGTTGAAATGTTTTATTTTTACAGTGTACCTCTGATTTGCATTTGTTTGGAATCTAATACAGAGTGTTTAATTTGGTCTTCAAGCAGTTCTCGCAGTGATTTTAGGTGTCATTGGACTCATCATTATTCTGCAGTATGAATCATTTTCCATGAAGATACAAACCAGAGGGTGGAGAATGGAGTGCAAATGGTCAGGGGGTCAGTGGATTCGGTACAGGTGTCCAACTCATCCACAGTGAAATGTCCTGGCCCAAGCCAAGCATTTGGCCTGTTTCCCCTCCTGAAGTGATTCAAAGACCTCTACTCAGCCTTGACTGAACCTTTGCTATTTTAAGTCTCATATTATCTATCTGTGATCAAGTTGCCTTTCTGAATCTCTCAGTGGAAAAAACATCATGTATTGATTTTCTGATGGTGTGGTAACGTTTGCTCTGTTTGCTTGTGCTTTGGATGCAACTGATCCACTTCCTGCAAAGCATTTTAGAGTTCCAGGCACTGCCTCTTTCGAAACACGTCTTTGCTTAGAATAACAATTTGACTTCTGCCACTTTCGCTTTGTTCTGATGCCATGTTTCCCATTGTCACAATGCTTCTTTGTGAGCAATGTTCTTCTGTGAGGCACAGCTGTATTCAGAACAGGTGAGCAATGGCTGCAAGTGTGTGTGTCCTCTGGATGCTGCATTAATGGAAGGATACAACAGATACAATCGGAGGGAACTTTTTTAAAAATAAGAGCGTTAACATGGTCAGTCTCACTGATTTGCCTTAATTTGATTGCTGACCTAAAAATAGTGTAGAACCTTTAATATTCCACCTTGAGTTTACACATCTTGCACTTTTCTGTTTCTGTATCATGGAATTATCCTGTTTCCCAAGCCTCACTTGTGTGTGGGCTGTAGATTTTTATATCACAAAGATCTTTTAAGACATGTTTCAAAGTGCATACACTCATTACAGATGACTCCTTTGCTAAGAAATTAACATCAGACCAGTCTGGGCAGTGATTATTTTAAAGAACATGTAGAATATGGTGTCATAACACAATAGCAGCTGTAGGATAACACAACATTCAGACAACAAGCAAGGCCACTAGAGGGCAGTAAAGAAAAACAGATACAATGAAGTTTCTTGAGCCTTGAGTGAACACAAATTGACCAGTGATTACACAGGTCATGCTACTTTTATAGCATCAATTAATATGTGAGATTATGAAATAAACTCTCTGTTGACTTTCAGTGACATTACATTGATTGATACTAATTTATTTATCCTGATCACAATCGCATGTTGTCCATCCCTAAATTTAAACCAAATCTGCACATTAACTTTAAATGTTTACACAATGGAGAGTTACTTCTTGTCCTAAGAAGTAGGCATGTTCCTCCAATCTGACTGTGTAAACAGATTTATATTCCTACAGCATGACTAATACATGTGTTCTTCGACACACACCCAAAGAAAAAGTCAGATTTCCTCTCCTGTGTGATGTCACTGTAGGCCGTCCCCTCTCCTCCCCCTCTTCTGTTTTCCCAGACCTCGCCTGCATGTCCCCCCTGCACTGACCTCATCATGCCTTTGTTGGGAAACAAAGAGTGTTCAGGCATCTGTTTTCAGGAGAAATAAAGACATAGGGTGCCAAGACAGAGGAGGAGGAGGAGGAAGAGGAGGGCCAGAGGAGGTATATGAAGTCGAGCTCGACTGACCTGATCAGTGGGAGTCACATGAAAATGAAACAGAGAGCTGCAGCGAGACAAGTGTACATTCCCACAGTCATGAATCCACACTACAAGTTTATTTCATACATTTTTTTTAATGAAATATCCCTCAAAGTCTTTAGAGCTTGTGTCACTGTGATAATAATTGATAAACTTTTGATTTCATTGTACTTTGCCCTCTTGACGTCTCCAAGAGAGTATTTGCTGTTTCAAGGTGGAGCTGGTATTTCCTGTATATCCTGCTCACTCTACCATAACTCAACCCACCGTTCTTCTCCTGCTGCTGCTGCTTCTTCCTCCTCTGTCAGTTGGGTAATCATTCCTCACTCTACGCCACGATATGATCCCCGTACATGTACACGATTCTGCATATCTGATTGAATCCAAGCCAAACTGAACACACAGAAGCCTTTGGGCCTTATATAATGCATAAGGATGTGACTTCAGACAACATCCCATTAGTGGTGATAAATAAGTAAAGAGCAGAAATGCAAGGATGACGCTGCTGAAAAGGAAGTGTGGTTCTTTGTAGGCTCCCCTTGAGGCAACATGTTCACTCACCAAGTGTTTCAGCCTTTCTATTATATCTGTGGGAAATTAAAGGGTACCTTATCTCATTTTGTGGTTGTGCACTTGCTTCACTTCCCAGTGCAATATCATTATTATTTTTTTCATGCCTGTAGGGTGTGTGTTCTGTAATATTTAGATATTGCATTACTTGGTGTGATTGTTGTTGTTTTTTTATTTGCACAGATTCCTTGTAATTTAACACAGTATGGCTGTTGTTCTGTAGGATATCATATAAAGAATGTATTGTTAGGTTTACCTGAGCAGATGCTGTCCATTCAGCGTCTCCACTAATTATTTTCTCTCTAAAATACGTCCTGTGCGTAATTTCCCAGTATGTGCGCTTGGATCACCTGCTCCAGTCAGCACATATGCGTTTCCATCCGGCAGTGAAAGGGTTAAGTCTGACTCTGCAGGCACCGAGCAGGCCTCCCTCCCTCCCCTTCTCCTCTCTTCGCTCTCCATCCATTTTTTACTGTGTGTGTGTGTTTTCAGGAGGGGGGCTGTGCCATCTGCAGGCTCGGTATACGCACACGCACAACTTAGTTTTGATAACAAAACAGCACCGCCGCGCTCCAGTTTCGGTTTCTTCCCCCGAACACTTCTCGTCGGATCTTTTTTTTCCCCCTTTGTGCTCTAAATATCTCTCCACACTCTGTCCGAAAGCTCCGGGACATGTCGAGAGGCGGAGGCGTCTCTTATTCCGCCCGAAGCCTCCCCAAGTTGGGACCCCGCTGACGCGCTATGACATGAAGGTAAGAGAGGGGGAAAGTGGCAGCGACCGAGCGACTCGTTGCGATTTTTTAGTGTTTAGTCCTTGTTTCGTCGAAGATTTCAACTTTAAAAACTCGGAAACATGGCTGAGTCACGGTCACACACTTCACCTACCCCCCGATCATCTCATTTGACGCAATAATGGCCCCAGTCGTCCTAGTTTGGGACAGAAAGGACATGTCAGGGAAAGAAGTTCCATCGAAACCCCGTGTTTTCATGCGGTGGCTCGGTGTTTTTACGCACGTTTTTTTTTTTTATGAGATATTGAAACATTCCTGTGCGAGCATTGTAGGCCTGATTTGGGAGCAGTTTGGGTTTGCTTCCTTTACAGATAAAGAGAAATCATTGTCTCTCAGCAGGACTCCCACACATGACCCAAATCATCCAAACTAGATATAAAGAATGCAGTAAAATGTCAAGGTCACAAGCTGAGAAAACATATTATCTGGTGTTTCAGGTTTGATAGTAAATACCTGTGGGGCTTTACTAATATCTTCATTATGACTGTGACAGTAAATGGAGTCTGGATAAGGAATCTGGCCAGAGGGAGCGGTAAACTGCCACTTTCATTCT